AATAAATAAATAAATAAATACTTTTTTTCTAGTCCCATATGTTATTGACTAAAGATGATCACCAATCATATTCTGTCAATAACATTCCTAGCCTGAATTTGCATAGGTAACATTTCCACTACAGGGAGTCCTTGACTTACAACAGTTCGCTTAGTGACCATTCAAAGCTGTAACAGCACTGAAAAAAAGAAGACTTCTGACCAGTTTTCACACTGATGACCACTGCAGCATCCCCATGATCATGATTTACATTTGGATGCTTGACAACCGACTCACATTTATGACGGTTGTAGTGTCCCCGGGGTTATGTGATCACCTTTTGCAACCTTCTGACAAGCAAAGTCAATGGAGAAACCAGATTCACTTAACAACCCTGTTACTAATTTAACAACTGCAGGGAGTCACTTAACAATTGTGGCAACAAAGGTTGAAAAAAGGGGCAAAACTCAATAAATGTCTCACTTAGCAACTTAAATTTTGGGGGTCAATTGTGGTTGAGTTGAGAACTGCCTGTATCTAGCTTAGCTACAGAACAACTAAAATCAGAGCTACTATTAGCCGTGATACTCTTACTTAAAGATGATTAATGTTCAATAGACCTACACCATTTTTCCACCTTTCTGAAATTTTATGTAGTGTGTCTGGACCTATACACTTTTAGTAGAACTTACGTTTTTGTAATTCTTAGACACATAACACAAATTTACAACAAAGCTTTGTATCTAAGGGGAAACATATGTCAAAACTATGTGTTAAGATTAAAACTGCCAATATTTAACATTAATACATTCAACAGAATGCATCTTTATCTCAAATATACATCTTTTAAATTGTGATATTACAACTCTTATTTACAAGCTGGCATGAAAGATAATACTGATTTAGATGTAGGATTAAAAACAGAATTATTTTTGAGATGCATCAATTAACCAAGTCATTAAATTTTAAATTCTGTGAAGATATGGAAACTTTGAGAAATGCTGTTATCAGCAGAAAATTAAATAACAAACGTTATGATGTGGCTAGCAGACTTACTTTCTGTTCTGGAAAGCCCTTCTTTCTGCCAGGGATCCGGGGACATATTTCATCCCAGGAATCCTTTTCAATAGCCGGAAAGGAAACTTCCGATCTAAACAAGAGGCTGTTGATTCGGAGAAATCCAAAGCAAAACAGTAACCATAACCATCTAAAATTCAGCAGATAAGGAGAGCCAGAAAAAGGATGTGAAAGAAAACATTTTTAAGCCTGGTCTTCTGAATATATTTTTCCCAGATGTGTTCAGAAAACTCAATGGAAACTCTGAGAGTTCTAATAAGCACAAAACACCAATATTATATTTTCTTCACTTCCCTGCATATTTTTGAACTGCACTAACAAGAAAGGAAGGACTCAAGAATGCAAAGTGGATGACTTTCCACTTGCTCTTAATGTAATTTGCTACCTTTGCAATTTTGGGTAGGGGGCAATCTACTTAGTCCATTTCCACTACAGGGAGTCCTCGACTTACAACAGTTCACTTAGTGACCATTCAAAGCTGTAACAGCACTGAAAAGCAAGGAATCATTAAAACAGACTTGTTATATATCTATGATGGCGAACCTATGGCATGGGTGTCACAGGTGGCACGCGGAGCCATATCTGCTGCACATGAGCTGTCAGCTCCAGCACGCATGTGCACGCCAGCTAGCTGTTTTTCCGCCTTCCGGAGGGCCTGGAGAAGCCGTTTTCGCCCTTCCCAGGCTTCAGGAAAGCCTCTGGAGCCTGGGGAGGATGAAAAACACCCTCCACAGGCCAACGGAACTTCTGGTTGGTCTGTTGTTTGCCCTCCTCAGGCTCTGGAGCTTTCCTGGAGCCTGGGGAGGGCGAAAATGGCTTCCCCCGGTCTCCTGGAGGCAATAACAAAACTCAGCTTGGAGACGAGTAGTGCAGCGCATGTGGGGGGGGTGTTGGTTGTGCGCACATGCACATGGGGGGCACTTTGCATTATGGGTGCCGGCACGCGGACATGCTACCATGCGCACGCCCTTGTAATTTTGGCACCCAACAACAAAAAGGTTAGCCATCACTGTTATATATGGAAAACCCCCAAATGGAAAATATTGTTGATGGGCTAATATAATAAATCATTAAAGAAAATAAGCTTCAAATGTATCTGTGCCATTTGTAATGCAGATGCTAATCTAGCCTAAAATGTGTTTTTTAGATATGGAAGATGCAACTTGATAAGATAAAGAGGTAGGTTATGAAGTTCATTATAAAAAGATACATATGTTCCCAATTAAGAGGCCACAGAGGTTTGCTAGGAAAGAAGAACTTGGGATCATCCAGGCCATGCAAAGCAGCAACCAGGGCACAAATGTCATGTGGAAGTTCACTCCAAGGAGCACTGTTTTCCTCATCTGAGAGCGAGCAATTGATGCAGCCAGCATGGCAAAAGCCACAGGAGTGAATCCTTCAGCATCCATCATCTTCAACAGGCTGGATGCCATAGTCCTGAGTACAAGGTAGAGGAAAGCTAAGGAAACTGCAAATGCCAGAGTGAGGAAGGAGTGCTTCACAGTCCCCACCATCTTCTCAAAGCTGCCAGCAAAGTACCAGATGATAACAGCACTGCATACCAAGGAGATCACATCTTCATAAACAAAGATGTAGGTCACCAACCTATAAACTGTGCAAAAAGAGCCAAGTTGGCAAATAAATGACAGACAAGAATCTGACACAGTGAAATCATCCCAAATCTATTCATAATTTTGGGGGAATGGTGCCAACTCCAAAGACAAGCTGAATTGAAAGGCTGGAATAGGGTTATAGCAGGATGGAGAGCTACATTAAATTAAAAGTCCAGAAGTGTTGGGCTTAGTAAGACATAAGTGAAGTATTTTTTAATCTAATTTACAGAGCCACCTTTTTCACCAAAAACTACTTTGAGCAACGAACAACAAGCTAAAGCAGTTTATAAATACTAAAAACTACTTACCAGTTAATTATAAAAACATTTTTAAAACTCTAAAAATAAATCAAAAAAGAAATAACAGATCGAGGGATGTTAATAATAGAACTCTAATAATAATAGAGTTCACTCAGCTCCTGGGGCCCTTAGGCTTTCTGACATTACCAGATCTTAAGGGATTCTCAGCAGCTCGTGAGACCAAACTCACCTCAGGTGGGAGAAGATTCCACAATGTAGGTGCCACCACAGAAAAGGCCCATTACATAGGGTCTTCTTAGCTGGCAGTACCTCTAAAGCAGTGGTAGTCAACCTGGTCCCTACCGCCCACTAGTGGGCATTCCAGCTTTCATGGGCTTTCGTGCGATACTGAAGCACTTTCCTTTTTTTTAATTTAATTGACTTTTTAAAAAAATTTCATAGCATTATTTAAAAACATTTTCATTAGGTTTTCATAAAATTCCCTGTGACAATTTAAATTTCTGAAAATATACTATTTGTATCGTCCGCACGTAAGTTTAGTTCACGTTATGTAAGTGAAACTAAATGGCGCTATAGCGCGACCTCAAATAAAAGAGCCTCATCCCAGAATAGCTCGGACATCTCCCCCACCATCACCCAGCTGTAACAGACAAGCAGAGCCGGTAGCCAGCATCCCCCCCCCCAACCCCAAAGTTACTTCCCTACTTTATAAATCACCATTACTGTGGAACCGGTGAGCGGTTAGAAAATTTTATTACTAACAGAATTACTAAAAGTGGGTGGTAGGTATAAAAAGATTGACTACCCCTGCTCTAAAGTACAAGCCTTACAAGGCTTGTGATCTGGCCATTTTATAACAGACTGAACATGCCTGGTTTTGCAAGATTGGAAGGAGGAGATGCAGGCATATTCGTTTGGTCAGTCTAAAGAAACACATACTTTTTTTGTTCTTCTGGAATTTTTAATATTAGACAAAATTACCCATGATAGTCTTTTGAAATGCCTAGATGGAATAAATTTGGGGTGGGGGGGGCAGTATTTACTCTGTGATATCTCTAGTTCTTCCTAAAATTATATATTCAGTAGTTTGCCTATTGCTTACAACAGCATTCCAATTTATTCAGCAAATTTATATACTGCCTATTCTTTTAACAATTTAGGGCATCACATAAAGATGTATGCAGTTGTAATCTATAAATATAATAGAAAAAAGCAACAAAAATCAGTAAATGTGCTTTAATATTGTCTCCTGCATTTCAGCATGTATGACAAATCACTGGGGAAAATAACCTGAAGTATGTTTCCGTCCATCAATAACATGCAGCTTTATCTGGTAAGTTCCTTATATTCAAAATCAATGCATAAATAGGGGAGAGAAGAGCTAAAAAAACCAAACTTGAATAGTGTGCATGGCTGAATGCAGGCTGTTATAAGTAGAATGTTTCTGAACAGAAGAGATCCTGAGTTAGGCAACCTTAGTCAGGCATTATGAAAATATTAAAGGATCTAAAAATGAGGTTTCAATACTGCTTTTGGCAAATCTAAGCAAATATCAACAGCATGTTTTTTGGGGGGCAGGAGAAGCTTTCTGTCACATTCTTTAAAATATTGGGAGCCTAACCTTTTACAGATTGCCTGCAAATAATCCAGACCTACCTTTCATTCACTCCTGTTTGTCAATCATCAAGAAGCCTAAACTCAAAATGTAGCAAAAGGAAGAAGTCTGCTATGTAAGATTCCTCAGGAAGGGGGCTAGCTGCCTAGATGAATTGTATTCGCTCCCAGGAAGAAGCCACAAAAGACTGTGGAAATTAACTACGAGGATGGTCTAGCAGAGGTTAATAGATTTATCTTCTATGGCAGCCTTGAAGAAATCAGTCTTTGCTAGGAATATTTGCTTAGATTTGCCAAAAGTTAGGAAATATTTTATTTAATAACAACAACAACAACGTTACGACGTCCTAGGCCCCTGGGTGGGGCCCGACTAGTAACCAATGCCAAATCTGGCGAAACAACTGGCCGCTGTGATACAATTGTATAATAATAATAATAATTTATAAATAAATAATTTAATAGGCTGCCCATGTTCCCTTGAGGTAACTGGGCAGTTTAAATGCTTAAATTAAATAAATGCTGAAAAATAATAGAACGACTCATGTAACTGCCCCAGGACCTCTTAAAGTCCTTTCCAACAAAGACCTGTCAGATGTCCTTCATGAAGCATGAAGAACAGAGCCTTCAAGTCGTCTTTATTGTAACTGTTATGCTCCTTCCAATGGAAGATCCATTTCCATCTCTTTTGGCTTTCATCATCCTCCCGTTTCTGAAAAGGAAAATACTCCAT